TCTGCTAGTCCAGAATCTTGCATATGCTGTCCTAGAACCTTCAAAAAGTTCATTGATATAAGGAGACCTCCAAGGCGTGGAATGAGACTGTATTCTGGAACTACCCATTTCAGTTCCATAAGTAGTGGGAAAAGTGCTTGATCAACAGTCAGCACAACATAGCTCTGATTCAGTGATTTGGCCACTTGCATCATTCTTCTGACAACAGTATTCATGTGTTGATGTCATGTGCCAGGGCTGGGATGATGGGCATGTAACCAATCAAGCTTATCTCAGGATTTGTGTCAGGACCCTCCTCATTAAAACTTGTCCAGCCAGGTTTGGGATATTGTGCTTTACGTTTAATGTGAAATGGCCTGTCTTTTGCAACTGCCTTTATTACTGCAGGACAGTCACTGAGCTTTTGTTCAAACCATTGCTCACAGGCATTTTCTTTCAAATCTGGCTCAACATTTCTTCACGGATGTGCACAGGCAAGATTATTTTCATTTCCTCTGGAACTTTAAGACTGACCTGCTGAGTTGGAGAAATATTCTCTAGAGGATCAACTGACATTGGACCTCTTTGCCAGGCAGCATACTGGGTTGCACGGAAAGTGTTTTGACCATCAAGAGTTCCCTCATTTATGTCAATGTTGTCAGCAGAAAAATGAATAAAACGCCCCTCAACTAAATTGGCTGGGATGACAGCTCCAGTGTCGGTGTCCATCGTTGACAGAGTATGTGTTGCAAGTGCAGTGTCAATTCGGAGGATATCCCTATAAATTATTATATGTCCTGTGCTATGAAACATCATGCAACGTGCTGTTCCCTTTTCTTTCGGTGGCCTGCTAATTGCTTTTCTTCCCTTTTCTTCAGTTCTTCTGTGTCAATGTCATCCTCAGCTTCATTTGCAGAGTCAACTTCATCTGTTTCCTCACCTTCAGAGTCAGTCTCATCATCTGTTTTCTCATTTTCAATCTCATCCATTTCTCTCTCAAGGAGAGACTTTCCACCAAGCAGAAGTCTTATGAACATATGTAATCTCTCTGGGACACACGTAATAGCATCCTTATTAGAAACATTAAGGCCTTTGTGTGCTGGCTGTGACATTATAGCTGAGCGAAGCTGTAGGGCTACATGCACCATTGACAGAAAATCATCTTCCATGTCAGGCTTATAGACAGGTATTGAATACTCATCAGCATCCCTTCCTTTATTCAGTAATTCAGACACTGGAATATGCTCAGATTTAGTTGGCAGAAGCACTGTTTGCCGCTCCGTAATCTCTACATTTCGTAGTTTTACAAATTCATAAATGAATGACTGAGAAATGAGTGTGGGATTTCAACACCTTCTTCAGCAGCAAGTGAGCAGTAGTGAGTAAATACCCCTTTCAGTTTTAAAATGTTCCTTAAAGGTTGTATGGAGGATTTTTTTTTGTTTCAAATTGTCAATGATAGCATTATAGAGATGCAGTAGCCTTGTAATTATGATGACCAAAAAAAAAGACAATAAAAATTCATTAACTCTGGACTTGGTGGGGCTAGCTAAACATTTGCCAATAGATAACGACACTGCCTCGTTATCTGTTAGCTGATAGGCTGTGAATCAAACTCCTTACGTTTCTAGCGTAACTGACTTGCCTGCGCGCTGCCATTACGTGGTTTACGTACGCCTGTCACGCTGTCCACAGACGCACAGACGCTGTTTACTCCACCAACGCAACAGTTCTTAGCGGCTTTTTTGACCTATATCTTCCTCGTTTGTTGTAATGGCAGAGAAGAATCCAGGAACAGTTAGCCGCAAAAGAAAGTCTGTTTTTGAGGTCGCTGAAAGAAGAAGACAAGGGGAAAAGCAGCGAAGTCAAACTAAGGTGATTCTTGGAGATTCATTCCAGCGATGGCGCGACTGAAGCAGACGAAGGGTCTAAAGACTGACGCATTGGTCGCCAAATTACTTCTGGACAGGTAACTTCTGCTTATTATGAAAACTTACTTTTTTTTATTTCCAAGAGCTAGACAAACGTTTTTCAGGACACGAATGCGATATCCTATGTCTGAAAACGTAATTTTCAATGCAAAGAAAGAGTCCACTTGCTGCTGCGTGTTGTAGTAGTAGCTTCATTCGCACGGAATCTCCACGCACCCCTCTCTGCACCCCTTACTGCTCCTCTCCCCGCTCCCCATTTTGCTCTTCTCCCTGCTCCTCACTTCTTTTCTGTGCACGGAATCTCCGCGCACTGCTCCCCTCTCCTCTCTCCTTTCCCCGTTCCGTTCTTCTCCCTGCTCATCACTTTTTCTTTGTGCACGGAATCTCCGCGCACCCCCTCCCCCTGCTCCTCATTTCTCCGCCTTGCCTAACCAACACTGTAGTTGGTTGTTTACAAGTCATGTGCAGCGATGAGTACTTTCTGGCGTAAGGAGGAGGCGGGAGGAGGTGTTTCTACATAGGGAGCTGTGGGGGAGAGGGGGTGGTTTCACGCATGCGCAACATTTGAAAAAGGACAAACAGTCGCTGGATTTCTCGTTCCTTGGAAAATCCTCTATACAACCTATAAGTCATTAATCAACCACATCAGTATTCTCCCCGTCTTATCATTTGCTTTTCCTCTTGACTGTGCTACTCTTCTTAGGAATTTCTTGTAACAGTTGGTATGGTACTTGCCCTCAGCAGCTCTCAAATCACTTACCCCTGCCACACGTACAAGAAAGACTATGATCACACTTTGCACCCTCAATTATTTGTTGACTGACTTTAAAGGTCATAACAGAGCACAGTGTTTCTTTGTTGGATTGTTTACTTTGTTGGCAAAATAAGCAGAGCTTCCAGTCAGTTGATGATGTCCTACTACGTAGCTGTGAAGTAGTCTGAGGTATGGTTATGGATGAATGTGGTGGTTTATTTAATCGTTTTATTTTACCCTTATCTGTAAAAGTAGCAAAACAGCTCTTATGCCAGTATATTTCACCTTGGATGTTCCCAGTCCCTATTGTCAAAATCCTGTGGATCTTTTCAATATTGGCAGCATCCTGAAATGTCTGTCTTTCTTCTGTAGACACCTTAAGTGACTGCACTCCTTATGTTGTTCCTCTATAAATGGTATCTTCTTTAGATTTCTGGCAAATGATACAATCTCCATAGGAAAGACCGGGCATGGAACATCCCAAACCAGCACGCTCTTCCATTTTTCTCCACCACAAAATTTAATTAAATAGCAGTAGGCTATGTTCTCAAAAAAAAAAAAAAAATTGTCGAAGGGAAACGGTGATAAATGACTTCCAGGGATAAAAATTAGCAATTACCTAGGATCTAGTAAAAATATGAATCAGGAATTTGTATATTTTCTGCTAGCTAGGACACTGGCTTCTGCTTGCTAGGACGCTAGCTAGGATGCAGCAAGCTGCATTATAGCATTGTTTTTATTTCAGTATGCTAATTAGGGGTCATGTGATGAGTTCTCGCTTATTTGTAATATTTATCTGATATATTTATATATATATACAGTGTGTCTGGACTTTTTATGAAATACATTCAGTTAAAGGGAACTTCAATTTGATTAGCCTGGTGTCTATGCTATTATGCTAGTTAGCATTCTTAAAACTCAAAATTCAGCTTGGTAAACAAAATATTTGGAATCAGCACCCTCAGATTATGGGAAATAGCATGTTTACAGACTTTTCCTCAAATTTGCCGCTAGAACTTTTTCTGAACATATTTCTTAGAACTATTCTCAGTCTATTAATCATCTTGTTGAACTTCATTGTTCATCTTGTTGTATTTTGTGACTATATTTGTACTCTGTCTTAGTTTTTCTTCAAATTTGACTTATTCAGTGTCTAACAGTCATGTGTTAGTGAGTGTGTGTGTGTATGGTTGTGTTGATTTTTTAAATTTATTTATATGGTCTACTGCCCTGCTATATGTCTTCTGTTGTTGTGACTATGAGGACCCCCTTGAAAATGAGATGGTGAGACATTTCAAAGGGCTTATACTCCAAACAAATAAATTCAAATTCTTTTGTGTCTTGTATGAAAGGTCTTGCAAAGTTTTCTGAAGACTGACCAGATTTATGAAGATGAGATATACATTAGCAAAAATGTACATAGTGCATAAAACAAATATTTCAATTTATGCAGATAAATATGTGCAGTGGGCTAGTCCTACAGAGAGGTGCTCCTGACCACTGTCTGGAGAAGTAGTCCAGGGCGCTGCACTGTTCTTGACTTGAAAGATCCTTGAAAGAGTTAAATGGTGTCAGTAAATTATACTGTAATCAAGTACAAACCCAATTTCATCATTGATATATTTGTTCTGTGCACGATCTGACACAGTGACACATTTTGATGCACACGTGTTCACTATTTTGTATTCTTGTGTACTTCATTTTGAGCATGTTATTTGATTTTGCAGTAGATGAATACCATCTTACTTGCAAATTGTGTGTTTTTATGTATTTATTTATTTATTTGTCAGATGAAGTCCTAGTGCTGAAAGCGTGTTGATGTCGTAATAAAATTTAGAATTTGCAAGTAAGATAGTGTGCGGGATTCTTCTCTGTTCATATTTTTGGGCTGCTCTCCCTCCTCCAGTGCACCTGTTTAAAGAAACTGATGTGCGAAGTTTTCATTTGTTTATTTTGGAATAGATATATAGGTTTCAAGTTTGTATGAATTGTCTCTGGGAATGCATTTTAAGCTTTCTATTATTTACAATGTTGAATTGTATAGATGCATATTATATTCACTTGAATAAGTTTTAGTTAAGTTAAGAATGACAACAGGGCAGATTCAAAATTGTTTTTATTTTTCTGCCCCGCTGACCAGGTCAGGAAGTAATATGTACCACAGGCTTTATGCCTGTTCTGTGCATATGAACTGATGAATGCAATAGAATGCGCTGATTATAAGTAATCTAATGTTCTGTGCTTACTATTGCCATCTGGCAGGTAGACAACAATGTACCCAGACATGCAAATAAATAAAGACATCATAAACTACAGATTTTGTTAAACAATCTCACTTAGGTTGCTTGGTATTCCCACTGCTTCTGAAGAATGTGTTGCAGGAAGCTTTGCTGATGTTGCAGTGATTGAAACTGGACTCAGTGACAGGACATTGGAAGAGCCTCTTGCAATACTGTCAAAAACATACACACAAAAAAACAAACAAAACAAATGTAAATACCTTTTGCTCACAAAGTAGGTATTTTCTAACTAGTTCCTCAGTCTCACAAACTATTTGGAACAACTATAACTCACATGCATGCCTTTTTGAGCTGTAGAGCAGCTTTTTTCCCAAAGTAAAGCAGGGGTTTGACAGCCATTGCACAGCCAACATGTTCCTACTCCAATGAGTATTTAAAGATGTTTTCACACTTCCACTAGTTATATTGACATACTTTTGAAATGTTTACTTAACAAAAGAATGTGAATCCACTTTATATCAGCAAAACTGTCTCAGTTTGAACAGGTAAGCATTTGTGTGTCTATGTGCCAATCTGAAAGCTTTGTCGCTGCTGCCACCAGCATCGTGCAAAGTCATGGTACATTTAGCCACAGGTGAAAGAAAAGACAGTGTCAGTTCTGTGTCCCCATGGGTCTTTGTTCTCACATTTGTTGGGTTGTGGGATAAAAGTTAAGGATTGGTTGAGGGTGGGGGTTATGGATTTACTTTCAAAAAAAGATCTTTTAAATGCCAAGTAGTTATGCCAATGAAATGTTGCATTGTCATTGCAATGTCTAAAATTGTGAATTTAATATTAGATACTTATATATATAAGTATCATATATATATATATATATATATATATATATATATATATATATATATATATTTCTTAAATTGGAAATAGATCATCTGTAAATGAGTAGAAACAAACAACTCAGTACTGCAGTAAATATGGCTAAATCTATTAGCTGCTAGCTGCTCCACAGAGCACAGTAACTGTGTAAAAATACCATTAAGAGAGAATCAGGCTCGATATTATGTATATTAGCAATAAATAAAATATTTTAAAATTAGATGCAGGCAAAGTGATGCTTTAAACGGATAGTTTGGATTTTTTGACATAAATCTGTATGGCATCCCCATCATCAGTGTTGTGCATCCACACCAACTTACCCCCCGAAAGCGTCCGGTGAGCCGAGATACTGGCCGGTTTTGGAGCTGAGGAAAGTAGTTTGGCAAGTTGTGTGGGGACTGTATACTAAAGCGTTTTTCTTCTCAAAGCAATATGTGTTCAAAAGAGTGATACATTTGCATCACAAAACCATCGTCCTCTAAAAAGTCAGCCCTCATAATCGCTTGGCACTATTTTCTCTCTGTACTGCGTGCAGCCGCCAGGTGACAGCCGTGCACGGATCCATCTGTTTCTTCAGTTGTTTGGCAGTGTTTACATGCGCAGACCGCCGCCACGCAAGAGAGCTAACGAGAGAGATAGAGCCATAAGTATATAAGCCTGGTTCACTTTGTTTACTGCTCGGAATGTTAGCGACAACATGTGTGATTATGACACCGACAATAAAGACTTTGCCTTTACCACAAAGCCAAGGGGAGATCTTTGTGAACCCGAATATACTGATGCCGAATTTCGCCAGATGGAGTTAGAACGGGCAGAGAGAGAGAGGGAAAGACAGAGAAGTGGTACAAGTTGAAGCTGGAGCCGTGAGAGACTGAGTGAGCCACAATCACCATCACGTCATTTATAAACTCGTATACAGCGAACATAGAGCCTAGACTGTGGCTGAAGCATGGACTACTAATAGAAACATGGAATCATCCACACGTCCACATAGCTGCTGCCAATAGTGTACACGACATTTACAATAGTAATAACAGTCGACTTATAAAGTTACATTTTGTAGAAGCTTCACTGGTGATATGACACTGAGTGATTTAATGCACACAGCGTTAGTAGCTGATTCTTGAGTCTGTCTGCTTGTAAACATAGCGGCACTTCTTCGTTCTTACCTGGTTTGGTTTCCACATTGAAGCCAAAGACAAGAAGCCAAAGTTTCCTCAGCGCAAAGTCCATGACAGGAAAACAGTGAAATGTGCGTGGAGATTCAGCCAGATTTTTGTTGTTACAGCCTGGATAATCAAGAGTTCGCACCATTTTTTAGATATATTCATATGTATCTTATACAAGCTTATATACTTATGGCTCTCTCTCTCGTTAGCTCTCTCGCGTGGAGGCAGTCTGCGCATGTAAACACTGCCAAACAACTGAAGAAACAGATGGATCCGTGCGCGGCTGTCACCTGGCGGCTGCACGCAGTGGTACATACGGAAAGAAAATAGCGCCAAGCGATTATGAGGGTTGACTTTTTAGAGGACAATGGTTTTGTGATGCAAATGTATCACTCTTTTGAACACATATTGCTTTGATAAGAAAAACACTTTAGTATACAGTCCCCACACAACTTGCCGAACTACTTTCCTCAGCACCAAAACCGGCCAGTATCTCGGCTCACCGGACGCTTTTGGGGGGTAAGTAGGTGTGGATGCACAACACTGATGACGGGGATGCCATACAGATTTATGTCAAAAAATCCGAACTATCCCTTTAACGATACAATCTTTCACAGGAATACCCCAAACAGGAATACCCCAAACCTGCTTTATTTTATTACCCTTTTTTACTAGTACTGCTTTAACACAGAATAGCAATTTCTAACAAAACAACTTTTACACAAATGTAATAATGCCCACTACCTTTGAAAGCAGTGATTTAAATTGGGAATGGTTATTTATTGATGTATTTCTATATTATTTTCATAGCTCAATTTATCCCCAAACTTTTGATTCTGAGACCTTGATAACTCACTTTACAGTTTAGTGAGTAGTAAAGAAATTCTTACCTCATGTGTCTGCACATTACTGTTGGAAATTAGTTTTTCCTCCCCTGGAGCATTATTGGAGTTGTAGTTCTTCAGAGTCTGGTTTTCCTTGAGATGTGCCTGGAATTTCTCCCTGTGTCGCCTGCACAAACCCATTATATAGTTACATACAGTATATCAGTGATTCTTGAGAGTTGAAAAACCATATTTTAGATTTCTTTGAACTATTTTGACGTAAATGGGATTATGTCAATGTATTTTGTATGTCCACTGCTGAGGTTGAGAAAGTTCACCTGTTTAAAACATTTTAAAAATTAATTTGTTTGAACTAAATTGCATTAAATTATTTTCAAAGGCTTTAATTAAGGCTTAAAAAAAAAAAAAAAAAAAAAAGCCTAAGATAAAGTTATAAAAATATCTATAATAAAATTCTGTCAGACAAAATGTTTCAAAAACATAATTGAATCAGTAATAATATTTAAATTTCAATATCTCTGAGGGTCCGATTTGTTGCCTCACCTGAACGGAGCGCTACCTCTTTTAAACTTTACTTTTTTTTTTTATATATATTGATATTGATACTGATATTGATATTTAATACCAACAAAGCAGGATACAAACAAGTATTATCAGTTGTTACTTATTTTGATCATGTCAGTGCTACTCAAACGTAAAATCACCAATATCAGAATAAAAATTCATGGAGGAGCAGACAAGAGAAAGAAGAAGGGGAGAGAAACACTGGAGGAACACTGGAGAAGTAGAGGAGGACAAAGGATGGATACTGACTCAGAGACAGAGAATGGAGAGAGGAGGGACATGGATTTTTCATACCTATAGTTAAAACATGTTTTTAGAACATATTAAAACATGTTTGGTTAGTTTTCAGCAATGTTCACACATTTTGTCACCTCAGTCAGGCTTTAAACAACATTATTTTATTTATTTTTTTCATTTTTTACAGAAAATTGTCTATTGCAACCTAAATGTGGACAAATGACATTGAAATCTACAGTCTGGTTTATGTTTATTATTTATGACATTAAAATATAAAACCATATTTTTTGATACTGAACTATTTTGAACTCATGTTCATAAGTAAGTACAAATATAAAATTTGAACTTAAGTTTTCAGGTACACTTTAATTGGAAACAATGGTACAACTAGCGATGGGATAGTATGAAATTTACATGGTATGATAACCATGACAAAAAATACTACGGTATGACGGTATACCACAGTATACTGTCATACAGTAGTATTTTTTTCACTTCCGTAATTTATAATGCTTAATGAGAACAAGGGACTTTTGAAGTAAAAGTATATTACTGATATATGATATAGCATTGCTCCTTGGTCATGTCCTACTTTGGTGTGCAGGGATTTGTCAGATCAGTTAATCAAGGCAAGGCTGCAGTTAGGTACAGTAGGATAGGCACACATATGGTTTTAAATATTATTAAATTTATTGTTAAGTAAAAAAATATGGGAAAAATACTGTAAGGTTTTATTTAGGGCTGAGCAAAAATAAAAAATATTAATTGCATTAATCGCATCAGTTCGAGTGCGATTAATCGCGATTAATCACATGTTATACACAAAACTAATTACCAAATTAAAAAATAGTGCATAGCGCACTTTTATTGGAAATGTAAATGAAAGAGCCATGTATTTGTTGTGCAAACAGCATTTCTCTCAGAGGGGAACCCTCAGAACCTTCAAGGTGTTCATTGAAGGCTCAAGAAAAAATATTGAATGAATTTTTGTACTACTATATATATATTTTTTTCAATATTTTTTTATTCAATGAGTAATGCACAAATGAAACTTGGAAAAATATTTCTTGGGAAACAAAGAGTTAATATAATGGAATCCAAATGGACCAATCACATTTTTTCTTCCAGTGGTATCTGGTAAATCAATGACTCCCCCTGCAGCACTGAACTAAAAAAACACCTGCAGGTCCTTCAGTGGCTGGAACGAAGTTTGAGAAGTTTGTGGAACAATCTACCCAAGGATCAAAACATATCTTTTAAATTTAGCTTTTAATTGAAACTTTTATTTGTTAATATTATTATTATTATTAATAACTTGAACTTGGACTTGAACCGTCTCCCTCCTTGAACCGTCACCTTATCGTGGTGGAGGTGTTTGAGTGCCCGAATGATCCCGGGAGCTATGTTGTCGGGGGCTTCATGCCCCTGGTAGGGTCACCCAAGGCAAACAGGTCCGGGGGGACGGGTCAGACGAAGAACAGTTCAGAAGCCCCTATGATGAGTGTACCAGCAAGGCCAGTTACGTCGCCCGGATTGGCGTCACCGGGGCCTCACCCTGGAGCCAGGCCTGGGGTGGGTGCTCGCCAGCGAGCGCCTGGTGGCCAAGCCTCCTCCCACGGGGCTCGGCCGGGCTCAGCCCGAAGGAGCGACGTGGGGCCGTCCTCACGTGGGCCCACCACCCGCGGGAGGATCCATATGGGGCCGGTGCAGAGAGATCTGGGCGGCAGTCGACGGCGGGGGCCTCGGCGACCAGATCTCCGGACATGGAGACTAGCTCTGGGGACATGGAATGTCACCTCGCTGGGGGGGAAGGAGCCTGAGCTTGTGCGGGAGGTTGAGCATTACCAACTAGATATAGTCGGCCTCACCTCCACGCACAGTTTGGGCTCTGGAACCGAACTCCTTGAGAGGGGCTGGACTCTCCATTTCTCTGGCGTTGGCCGCGGGGAGCGGCGGCGGGCTGGTGTGGGCCTGCTCATTGCCCCACAGCTCAGCCGCTGTGTGTTGGAGTTCCCCCCGGTGAACAGCAGTGTAGAGTACCCGGCCTTCTTGGAGTCCTTGGGAGGGGTACTAGACAGTGCACCGACCGGGGACTCCGTTGTTCTCCTGGGGGACTTCAACGCCCACGTGGGCAACGACAGTGACACTTGGAGAGGGGTGATTGGGAGGAACGGCCTCCCTGATCTGAACCCGAGTGGTGTTCTGTTATTGGACTTCTGTGCTAGTCACAGTTTGTCCATAACGAACACCATGTTCGAGCACAAGGGTGTCCATAAGTGCACGTGGCACCAGGACACCCTAGGCCGGAGGTCGATGATCGACTTTGTCGTCGTGTCATCTGATCTCCGACCACGTGTCTTGGACACTCGGGTGAAGAGAGGGGCTGAGCTGTCAACTGATCACCACCTGGTTGTGAGTTGGGTTCGCTGGCGGAGGAGGAAGCCGGAAAGACCTGGCAGGCCCAAGCGTGTAGTGAGGGTCTGTTGGGAACGTCTGGCAGAGCCCTCTGTCAGAGGGACCTTCAACTCGCACCTCCGGGAGGACTTCTCCCAGATTCCGGGGGAGGCTGGAGATATGGAGTCCGAGTGGGCTTCATTCTCGGCCTCTATTGTCTGAAGAAGGAGTCCTATCGGGCCTTGCTGGCTCGGGGGACTGCTGAGGCAGCTGACAGGTACCGGCGGGCCAAGCGTGCTGCAGCCCCTGTGGTCGCGGAGCCAAAAACTCGGAGCTGGGAAGAGTTCGAGGAGGCCATGGAGAAGGACTATCGGACGGCCTCAAAGAGATTCTGGCAAACCGTCCGGCGCCTCAGGAGGGGAAAGCAGTTCACCAACACTGTTTACAGTGCGGGGGGAGAGCTGTTGACCTCGACTGGGGACGTTGTCCGGCGGTGGAAGGAATACTTTGAGGATCTCCTCAATCCCACCGTCACGTCCTCCGAGGAGGAGGCCGAGGCTGGGGACTTGGAGGCGGACTCATCCATCACCCAGGCTGAAGTCACTGAGGTGGTTGGAAAGCTCCTTGGTGGCAAGGCTCCGGGGTTGGATGAGATCCGACCTGAGTACCTGAAGTCTATGGATGTTGTGGGGCTGTCTTGGCTGACACGCCTCTTCAACATCGCGTGGCGGTCGGGGACAGTACCTCTGGATTGGCAAACCGGGGTGGTGGTCCCTCTGTATAAGAAGGGGGACCGGAGGGTGTGTTCCAACTATAGGGGGATCACACTTCTCAGCCTTCCCGGTAAGGTCTATGCCAGGGTACTGGAGAGGAGAATCCGGCCGATAGTCGAACCTCGGATTCAGGAGGAGCAATGTGGTTTTCGTCCTGGCCGTGGAACACTGGACCAGCTCTACACTCTCCATAGGGTGCTCGAGGGTTCATGGGAGTTTGCCCAACCAGTCCACATGTGTTTTGTGGATCTGGAGAAGGCATTCGACCGTGTCCCTCGTGGTGTCCTGTGGGGGGTGCTCTGGGAGTATGGGGTCCGGGGCCCTTTGCTAAGGGCTGTCCGGTCCCTGTATGACCGGAGCAGGAGCTGTGTTCGCATTGCTGGCAGTAAGTCAGACCTGTTCCCGGTGCATGTTGGACTCTGCCAGTGCTGCCCTTTGTCACCGGTTCTGTTCATTGTATTTATGGACAGAATTTCTAGGCGCAGTCAGGGGCCGGAGGGGGTCTGGTTTGGGGACCACAGGATTTCATCTCTGCTGTTTGCGGACGATGTTGTTCTGTTGGCTTCATCGAGCCAGGACCTGCAGTGTGCACTGGGGTGGTTTGCAGCCGAGAGTGAAGCGGCTGGGATGAGGATCAGCTCTTCCAAGTCCGAGGCCATGGTTCTCGACCGGAAAAAGGTGGCTTGCCCTCTCCGGGTGGGTGGGGAGTCTTTGCCTCAAGTGGAGGAGTTCAAGTATCTCGGGGTCTTGTTCACGAGTGAGGGAAGGACGGAATGTGAGATTGACAGGCGGATCGGTGCAGCTTCGGCAGTGATGCGGTCGCTGTATCGGACCGTTGTGGTGAAGAGGGAGCTGAGTCGAAAGGCGAAGCTCTCGATTTACCGGTCAGTCTTCGTTCCTACTCTCACCTGTGGTCATGAGCTCTGGGTAGTGACCGAAAGGACGAGATCGCGGATACAAGCGCTTGAAATGGGTTTCCTCCGCAGGGTGGCTGGGCGTTCCCTTATAGATAGGGTGAGGAGCTCAGTCACACGGGAGGAGCTCGGAGTAGAGCCGCTGCTCCTCCACGTCGAGAGGAGCCAGTTGAGGTGGCTCGGGCATCTGTTCCGGATGCCTCCTGGGCACCTCCCTCGGGAGGTGTTCTGGGCATGTCCCACCGGGAGGAGGCCCCGGGGAAGACCCAGGACACGCTGGAGGGACTATGTCTCTCGGCTGGCCTGGGAACGCCTCGGGGTCCCCCCGGAGGAGCTGGAGGACGTGTCTGGGGTGAAGGAAGTCTGGGAGTCCCTGCTTAGGCTGCTGCCCCGGATAAGCGGACGAAAATGGATGGATGGATAATTTATTTTACATGAAATTATCATTACTATTTTACTTAGTCTCCATCTGATTTTAGGTCTCCATTTTTTATTTTTACTTAAGGAGCTTTATGTTTATGTTTTATGTTTCTGTTTAAATTGTTGCATATATGGATGAATCTGTGGGGTGTGGGGGTGGGGTTACTGTTGTTTTTAATTATTGTCATTTTTTCTGTTGCATGTGAAGCACTTTGTGCTACATTTCAAATGTATGAAAAGTGCTATACAAATAAAGTTTGATTGATTGATATACATGTCCTGTATGACACATACAGCTGTGCATATCTGGTGCATCGAGCAGCCAAACAACATTTTATCCTCTGAGCCATTTGGGCAAAGCTTGAGGAAGGAAAATGTGCAGAAGAAAACAGAGAGGACAACGATGTGAGGTGCCACTCTCAAACACATCTTTTACAAAGCCATGTTTTTTTTTTTTTTGTGTGTTTTTTTTGCAACTCAGCCATTCAGTTTATTTGATGCCTCAAAGAACGCATTTTTTCAGCTCGAAAGACACAACACAGACCCTGGTTATTATTATATATTTAGTACACACATGAAATTAGTGCAGTTTATCTGGTGTGTGTATGCACCTGAAAGTGAATGAGTATAGTCCGTGTGTCCCATTGATGCAGTGGAAAACCAATTGGCAGAGTCAGGGTGCGCGCTTCCTTTCTTAAAGTTTTCTATATAGACTATAGATGTCTGATAAACAGACTCTATATCGGCTTGAACTTTTAGTTTTTTATACTTTTAGCATGAAGGCTTACAGGTTAGTTCTTCACTCTGTGCGTTTTTTACAGAAGTGCATGGGTGCTTTGTGGTGTGGTCCGCTTCTATGCAAGGCGGGATGCAAACGGGGAGCAGACGATACAGTGCAGACATAAGGGCCACATATGTACATGTTAAGGGGCATACGGCACTGCTGAGGTGTACAGCTTTTTCCACAGACTTTGTTTGATTGTGTATGTGTTGCAATACTCACTTGTTGCGGTAATACAGGGCCATGCAGATTATGCCAAGGAGGCTGATGGCCATGGTGATAGAGGTGATGGATAGCACATGTCTCTTGTAAACTTCTTTGCTCTCTGCAAGGAAAAATAAATCTATAATAAAAACTGTACTCCATGTTTATTAAACTTGCATTAAAAAAAAAAAAAAAGGCTTGATTTTTGCTCATGTTTTTTTGTTTTTGTTTTTTGTTTATTTAACAAAAATGACCTGGCCTACCTCTCTGGAAAAACCTCATGGAGTGTGTGTTTCAGACCCTGTACAGCAGGTCAGTGAGGATAGTGTGTGAACAAGCACAATCTCGTGTTCACTGTAAACTTAAGATCAATCCCTAGGGTCATGAGGTCCTTACCTTTATGTTTTGTTTTTGCAGTGGAGCATCAGTGTATTCTCCTGGACTCAGCCCATACCTAGGTTTCCCAATTGACCAACTAGAAATAGCCTCATTTGCTCTCATACAAAACTCAAATAGTCACTTTGCTGACTTAACTGTTTATATTATAGGTTACAAGCAAATTTTGACTTAATTATTGTTACTGAATTATTATTTTACATATTGTTTTTGCTTGAGGCAATTGTATCTTTCAAGAATTTGTGGCATGACACTTAGTGAATAAACCTACAGGGGGATTATCAGACTACGTCACTTTGCCCTGCTCATGTCTCCTGCAGAAAGAGCTGCTGTCCTATCTTTGTATCATGTCAGTTTTGTAGGATTTCCCCAGGATTTCAGGCTAGTTGTGTTGATTGGGTATGAGTGGATGCTGAAGTTTCAGCCATTTCTTCTCGTCAGTTATGCACTCACCTGCATTTAACACATACTGTACAAGTCACCCCACTCACAAATGTTAATTTAGCATAACTTATTTTATACATGGTGATAAACTGTTTCGCTGACATCTCTAGCTAGCATTGCAACTACATGTTAACCCCACAGACAGCGGCACTTTCTGCTATTTAGTCCTGTTCCTTATATACTTTTTTGGGAATTTTTGGGGGATTTGCTAAACTATATATTTTTGGAAAGGTTATAGTATATGGAGTCAGAAAATCAATGTTTGCATTTGCCCAGATGTCATTATGGCGGCCATATTGAATTAAAAAAAAAAAAAAAAAGGCTGCCAAAAAAACATTATATATAGAAAATATATAGAAATATTTATAAAATATATAGAAATATTTCAGCCTCTGAATAAGTTGAAATGTTGATTTTAACTGCTAAACCCACATTTTCAGGGTCAGGGAATCAAATGGTGCTAGTTACAAACCTGTAAGACCTACCCACATTAACCCTTAGATGCATACGTGGGTCAAAAATGACCTGGTTTGGTTGTTTTCTTGCAATTTCATTGTAATATTCGCATGTAATACTCCATGTTCCTCCAAAAATATGTTTTTTTTTTTTTTTTTTTATTATTATCCTGTAGAAATACATCAACAATACAGATAGAACAAACTATAAACATCACATGCAGTAACTAACATATGAATCTAACATAAAATTTGAATGTTGGATGTCAACAAACACATTTAGACACAATATGATTGCGCAACTTTTTTATTAGATATTTTCTATACATCATCATTATCATCATCACTTTCATACAACCATAAACCGTATATGAGTGCACAGATCTAACGCTGTAGCCACCGAATGCCAAATAGGAAGTTCTCCAGGAGGCTCTTCCAGCTCCTTCTGACTCTGGCTCCAATGGACTTATATTAGGATCTTGTGGCTCCTCTCTCTGTACCTGCTGCAGTGAGCCTTGATATTTTGGTCTTAAAATGTTTATATTAACTTGCTTTACATGATCCTGAATTTTTTTTTTCCTGCTATTTTGTCCATCAAAAACATCCTATTCATAATATAGAGTCTGGCTCCAAATTCACTCCTGTAACCGTGAACATCTTGAGCCTCATTTGAGAAGTGCTGAACTCTATGGGTCACACGTGCTTAGTCCACTTCTTTTATGAAGTCTATTGTTAGGCGTGATAGCTTTAGCCGCGCGGTCCGCTGCATCGTTACCCCTGGCAACAAACCTTCCATGAGTGCTAGGAGTGTGCTAAAATATCGATACATCGATACATATCGATATTTTTCGAATTGATACAGTATCGATTCTTCATTTTCTAGTATTGATATTCCCCTCGAACGTTAGGGGGCAGTATAGCCGCGCCTCCACGTCTTTACTGGAGAAGAGAAGCGCGTAAGAGGAGCAAAAATAGAAAAATGGCAGGAAAGATTTTTCAACCACCTTCTACTTTAAAAGCAGACGTATGGGCGCATTATGGTTTTAAAGCCCAAGAAAAGGGGCAGGGGATGGACAAGACTAGCGCCATTTGTATGCATTGCCAAACTGCTATCAAATATTCAGGTAATACGACCAACCTCCGAGTTCACATGCAGCGCCACCATCCAGATAAGCTAGCCTTGCCGCCCCCAAAGAAAAGCATGGACCCAAAACAACCCACTTTGGATAGCCAAATAAGTAAACTAGCCTCCAACTCTCCGCGTGCACTTAAGATCACAGACACTATCGTGCATTATATCTGCGAAGGTCTGTGCCCATACAGTGTTGTGGAGAACCCAGGCTTTCGCCTCATGGTAAACACATTAGATCAGCGTTATGTGATTCCCACACGTAAACATTTAACGGAGGTGGCGGTCCCGCAAATGTACCATAGGGTGAAAGACGCAGTTAAAACCAGTCTAAGTGCAGCTCTGAGAGTGGCCCTTACCTGTGATGGGTGGACCTCCCGTGCCACGGAATCGTATGAAACCGTTACGAGCCATTTTGTCAATGAATACTGGGAGCTAATTTCACATGTTTTACAAACTAGAGCCATGCATGAAAGTCACACCGGGACCAACATTGCGGAGCTACTCAGCGCAGCTCTTGAGGAATGGGACATCGCTTGCAAAGACCCGGCTATTGTAACAGACAACGCCGCTAATATGAGCGTCGCGGTGGAGCTCACGGGGATGTTACATTTCAAGTGCTTTGCCCACACGTTGAACCTGGCTTCACAGCGCGCTTTGAAACTACCTGTAGTCGCGCGTCTGTTGGGTCGTGTGAGACGCATTTCGAATTTTTTCAGACTCCGCCAGAAGCAAAAGCTGCTGCGATTACCAGAGCACAAACTGATAGTCGACGTTGTGACCAGATGGAACAGTGCGCACGACACTCTCCAACGATTTCGATGTTCATCATATATCATATATAACATTTAAAGGTACAAAATTAAATATTAAATAGTAAACATTAAATTAATAGTTGATTTTAAATTAAAAGTACAATGTGTTTGAAAATAATAACCCAGTATATATTATAACTTTCATATAGATGTATTATCTTACTTATGCCTTCAAAGTTTATGAACGCAAACTTAACACAAACATGTAATTTGCTTTACAATATAGGAAGAGGCTGAACTTGAGACCGTGACTGAGGAGATGCCTGTGGAGGAGGATGATTCTGAAGAAGTTAAGGAGGACAACTGTGCTGCTGGTCCACCACCACCCAAACGAACAAAGGACATGTGCAGTTTGGCTGATCTACTTGGTCCAACCTACAGCGCAGGTACTGCTGTGAGACACAGAACCACACAGGATCGTGCAGAAGAAGAGGTGACAAGGTACAAGGAGGCACCAGCCTTGTCTCTTTCAGAGGGAAGTCCACTTAGTTGGTGGAAAGAGCATCACTGATGTCACAGCTTGCAAAAATGTACTTGTGCATCCCAGGGACTAGTGTCTCCTCTGAGCGTGTATTCTCAACAGCAGGAGACATTGTCACAGCTCAGAGAAGTACACTCAGCTCAGAACATGTTGACCAAATTTTGTTTCTAAACAAAAATCTTTAAGTGCTTTGAATAGATTTTTATTTTTGTTATGGTTCTGTTTGCTGAAAAGTAATGTTCTTAGGGCTGATTAAGTTGACCAAATCAGCATTCCTCTAAGTTTAGTGAAGGTTCTGTGTGTGAATATAAATGCAACATTTGGTTTTCAAAACAGAGCAATGTTTTAATAGTTGTGTTGTGAGATCCTTTAGCTCAGTTAAACTACACATGTGCCTTTGTTCATGTTATTGTTAAGCTCATACAAGCTATGAATGATGATGACCAATGCAGGTTGCAGGTTTTTGAAGTTGTATGTATTGTTCTAGTTTGAAACATGCATTAAACAAAAAGCACTTTATTGTGTTCTTTAATCTTCAATAAATGGAAGGTAAATGCACCATTAATGTTTAATTTTTTTTGTAAAAATTGTGTTGATCATTAAGTAAGAGGCTGAAAGCCATTATTTTTTCTGAATCGTATCGAATCGATTTGCAATGTATCGTATCGAATTGTATCATATCGAAAGTGCACTGTATCGAGATACGTATCGTATCGTGGCCTGCGTATCGAGATACGTATCGTATCGGCAACTTCATGGTGATACCCAGCCCTAGTGAGTGCCTTACACATTTTACTATAGATAACTCAGATGGCAATTGGATGGGATGGCCACATCCAGGCAGTCAAAAAATGAATTTGTGTGCTATAGAAGTTCCCCTAACTGTCATAAAACCAGTAAGGTCAGCAGCCTGCACAGAAAGAGAAGTAGTTAATGATTTTTGAATAAGAGGTATAAACTTACCTTGTAAACTGACTCCACCACCACAAGTCCTGCTCTCAAAGAGCTAACAGAGTCCCTCCAGCAGCATCAATCCATGAACAGCACACATCCATATCAAGAGGCACCGAAGAGAGATCCTGGCGGGCTTTGGTCAGATTGTAAACCTGCATTTCACAAATATGAGGTTCCCCAGAGCTGTTAATATTATCTGCCATATTAGTGCCATCAGTCAGGTGGGTCAGATGTGGTTGAGTGAGCACATCCAGCAGTCTAGTCTGCATGAGTGAGGAGAAAGTAAAGGATGAAGAAGCCACAAAGGCAGTTACTGTGTGGCTGGTCAAAATATTCAATGGGTGGCCCATAACTATATGAACACTTTTCTTTATAGTCGTAGCCAATCCTGCTGCATAACGTACACAAGGTGGCTGTTTGCTCTCAACACTATCCAAAGTGACACTA